CCTTGGGGTGAGGAGCAGGTCCTAGAAGCCGGCACTGGAGGCCGGGCGTGATGGCACACCCCGTGCTCCCAGCGGCTGGGAGGCTGAGCAGGAGGCTGAGCAGGAGGCTGAGCAGGAGGCTGAGCAGGAGGCTGAGAGTTCCCGCAGCCCCAGCAGCTCAGGGGGCCCTGGGCCCCTCAGCGAGAGCCCAACTCCAGACCAAGAGCGCTGGGGTGCGGCCCAGTGGCTAGGGGCTCCTGGACTCCACACCCAGGACAAAAAGTGAGAGACCTGGTCACTGAGGAGGGCTGTCCCTGGGCGCTGGGACGCAGCCCTGCTCACCTGGCGAGCACACGCACACGCAGGGCTGCGTCACAGCAGGACCGCGCTTGGCTTCAGCCCACGTGGCGACCTCGGGGCCGTGCTGACAGCTGTGGGGTCAGACGGAGCCAGGCTGCTTGGGACTGAGTGGACTCTGAAAGCCAAGCTAGGGCACCCAGGGCACCCGGGACACCCGGAGAGGACCGACGGCAGCAGCTCCAGGCCCCCCCCATGCCAGGGTGGCCAGGCCCACTGCCCAGACACAGGAAGGGCCTCATCCGGACCCCTGGGCTCAGAGCATGTCAAGTCTGCGGGACATGGTGTGGATGACAGAGCACGCCCGCCCTCCGAGGCTCTGGCCACCCTCTCCCTGCCTCTGCCCAGAGGCCATCTGTGGCCACTCTCAGCTCCTTCCCGGGAGCTAACTTGGAGAATGAGCTCTGTGTTGACAAAGGTGCCACTCCGGCCCCAACCGGGCACTTGTACATGCACAACCCTGCTCTCTGCCCCCAACCCCACCTCCCAGCCCAGGGGTGGTGTGACAGGACACCCAGAGAAGGGTGCTAGGTTAGGTCCCCAATGTCTCCAAAGGCCCATGTGTTCAAGGCCTGGTCCCAGACTGGAGCTACGGGGAGCGGGTGGAACCTTAAAGGGTGGCCTAGTAGGAGGTCTGAGGTCACTAGGGACCCATCCTGTCCTCAGGCTGGAGTGATGACACAGGTGTGCTGCCCAACCCCAGGAGCCAGACCACCCAGCACGTGCGGGACCCTCAGAAGGTGACCATGTCTTCAGAAGGCCCTCTCCTCAGGCCTTGTCACATGGCGGAGCTGGCCCACGGCATCAGCGCACATCACCTCCGTGCCCACACTGCCCACTGGACCGCCCCAGTCCTGTGCTCCCTCACCACTCCCAGGACATGTGGGCCACCAGTTACCAGCAAAGACCAGCTCAGCGCTGGGCACACCAGCAACTCGGACATGCGTGTGTTTAGAGTTTTGATAACTTTATTCATCATGGGTTTTCAAACTTTGCTTATTTTAAAAAACATTCCACCAAAATGTTATCTACCTCACCCAACGAGAGAGGGCAGCCTACAAACCCTGACCCATCCTGTTTAGGGCTGTCCAGGGCACCCAAGACGAGTCTGGGAAACAGAAGAACCCAAGGAGATGTGATGCCCGGGGCATGTCAGGTCCTAGACAGGGCCCTGGGGCAGAAACGAGCATGGGGAGGGATCAGAGGTCTGCACAAGCCACGCTGCCTTGATGAGGCCATCTCCGCCCCACCTGCTTGGACAGCCACAGGAGACCTGCACCTCTCCAGGTGCACAGGGAGCCCCCTGGGCACAGGGCTCTGCCGGCTGTCCACTCCGCATCGCCTGCAGCGGCTCCACCCTCAGCCACAGCTGAGTGGAGGAGATGGAGGCCATATGGTCGGCCCGGCCTGCAGAGCCAGGAGGGTGGGAACAGGTGCGCTCCTGGCAGGGCCACCCGCCCCCTGCCCTGGACACCAGGACCCTGGCCATTTGACTTGTCTTTCACGGGATCCTGCCAAGCTTGAGGAATCCCAGCAACTGTGGGAGCATGCACTGGCCCGAAGGTGGGGTCCAGACAACCCAGTGGGCTTTCTTTCCCTGGGCAGCATGGACACAGGGTGGCGCCCCTCCGCTGGAGAGTCACTAGAGACCAGCCCCAGCCCCCAGCAGAACACTTGGCAGGCCAGGTGGGGGAGAAAGCCCAGGCCAAGTTCCTCCCAGCTCCTGCAGCACCGCCCCCACATCTGGGAACCCCACACCTGCACAGGCACGGGTTCCCCTACCCCCCCAGCACCCCGAGATTCTTCTCCAACAAACTCTGATCTGGAGCCTGCAGGGCCAGGCGCATGGCCACCCATAGTGGCACTGGCTACTCCACCACCAACCAAGGCAGCCCGGGGCAGGTCCAGAATCCACACCAAGCCCAGCAATGGTTTCTGTAAGGACAGCGGAAGGTGTGCACAAGGTGTGTGGGCAGGAGGGCTCAGTCACCTCACAGCCCTGCCTGCCAGCTCCTCCAGCTCTGCAGGCACCCTCAGGGGACGCCCAACCCCATCTCCTCCAGGTCTGAGTCTGACACTGTGGAAGGCAGTCCTGGTCTGAGCAGCATGGCCCCCCCCTGTGACAACTTCTGGTCCCCAGAGTCTGCCAAGCTTGCCCTGGAGGCAGCCTCCACCAGGTGCCAGGAGCTGCAGAGGCGAACATGGCACCCCAGTACTCCTTGGTGGGTCCACATCCTTTGGACCCCACAGGACCACCCCCAGCATCCCTGCAGGAGCACTACCAGCTATAGTGTGACAGGGGCACTATCAGCCCCAAGCTCTCCCCAACGCTGCAGCTGGTGCTAAGGATGAGGCAGCGCGTCACACACACACCCCCCCCCCGCCCCGCACAGCGCCTGTTGCTCCCCTTTACAGGACCAAAGCCACACCTGGACACTGATGGCTGGATCAGGCTCCCTTGGGTAGACCTCCCGTGGGGGCCAGCACAGCACTTCCTGTGTGCTTGCCAGACCCAAAGGTTCGTGGGACAACAGAGGTCCAAAGACAAGAGACAGCTGCAACCCTGAATGCCAAGCCACTCTGCCAGGCAGGAACCAGGCTCCTGTCCTGAGGATAGCATGTGCTGCCCAGGCGGTGGCCCTGCCAAGTTGGGACAACTCTGCCCCCACTGGACAGATGGCAAAACCAAGGCTCAAAGAGGCTGAAGCCTGTCCAGTCATGCAGATTAAAAAGCAGGTGCCGGACATGTAATCCCAAGCAACTGGGCAGGCTGAGGCAGAAGGACTGTTGAGCAACTTAGGGAGATGCTGTCTCCAAAAGAGCTGGGGGCTGGGGCTCAGTGGGAGAGCACTCGCCTGGCATGTCTAAGGCACTGGATTCCAACCTCAGCACCACATAATAAAGGCATTTGTGTCCATCTACAACTAAAAAAAAAATAGGAAAAAAAAAGGAGAGAGTGAGCTAGGGATTCAGCTCAGCAGTCTGTGGTCAGCACCTGACCAACATGTGAAGGCCCTGGGTTCCATCCCTAGCCCAGGACAGGGAAACAAAAGGGAACCTGGATGGGCAGCCCAAGGGTAGCACCACCACCCTCCAGCTCCCTCCCCTCCACCAAGCAGCATTTGTGTTTTAGCATCCCTGCCCCCAGCTCCATCCAGCAGAACATGGATATACGTGCCTCTGGGCACTGTCCTGTGTTATTACTTCATTTTGTAAAACACCTATTCTGTTGTGGCCCCACTAACCACCACCCCAGGGGAGGTAGCTCCCAGAAACCCACCTTGCCCTAACCCAGCTTCCCCAGAAGCCCCCCACTTCACCCCCTCTCCAGAGAAGGAAGGCAGGGCCCCTGGTAAATCTAGGTTTCAGTGGCAGCTCTCAGGATGAGACCCTGGGACTCAGGGACCCAAACCTCAGAACAGAAACCAAGTAGTGGGTGCTGCTCCTGCCCTCTGTGTTGACTTGCCCTTGGACTGTGAATGGTGGATGGGAGGGAGAAAAGAGCTTCCAGGGGATGGCAGGGGACAGCATCCCCACCCCAGGACAGACCCCACCCAGGACCCTGGAGAGACAGCCCTCACCACCCCCAGGGCAGAACTTCCAGAGCCCAAAGCCTCCTTCTGGGTTGGATGGACACGCAGTGCCTACCCCTCCTTCCGAAGCCCCAGGTGGTGCCTGCGAGGCCAGTGCTGTCCTCCAGGCCAAGCTCCGGGCCACCCAGATTCCCCATGGAACCCGGGGAGTCCCCATCAGAGCCCATTCCTCAGATCCCCACCCCTCTGCAGGCCCACCCACTCCAGCCTCCCAGCTCCCACCCCAGGGTCCCTCCAAAGTCCCTGAGCTCCGGGACCACTGTGGAGCCCCCCTCCAGGTCCCAGAGGCCGGCCGCCCCGTTTCCCCCGGAGAGTGCAGCGCCCAGATTCCTCCTGCACACCTGGGTCTACAGGGCCACCGAGGTGGCCTAGGGCGCCAGGCCGCCCAAGCCCCCAGGACCCCTCCCTGGAGGGCGGCCCGGGCTGCACCCCTGCCCCGCGGCACCTGTTGCTGGGAGTCCCCCGACGGCCTCCTCCCCGGTGCGCGGTCTGCTCTCTGCCCCTGTCCCTCAGGGACCCCTCAAAACGCCCCTCTCACCAGGGGCACCCCCGACCACCGCGGGCCGCAGTCGCTCCCGGCCGGCCCCCCGAGACCCCGCGGCCCGCCGGCCGGTGCCCGCCCCTCGAGCTCCCGCAGGTCCCGGAACAGCCCCGGCCAGCACCGCCGCGAGGCCCCCCGCCCCGGGAGCCGCGTACCTCGCGCGTGGTCACCTCCTCCTTCTCGGAGATCTTGAGCAGCAGCCGGTCGTTCTCCAGCTCAAGCGCGCGGACGCGGTCGATGTAGTGCGCCAGGCGGTCGTTGAGCTCCCGCAGCTCCTCCTTCTCCTGCAGCCGCGACAGGCGCGTGGGCGACAGCGGCGTGGCGGGCCCGCCCGCGCGGCCGGGCAGCGGAGAGGCCATGGCGGCGGCGGCTCGCGGCCTGCGCGGCTCCCGACGGCGGCCCAGGCTCGGCGCGCTCATTCAATCCGCGCCGCGCAAGATGGCGCCGCCGCCGCCCGCGGCCCGCCGCCGCGCGGGGCACGCCGGGAGTTGTGGTCCGACCGCCCCGCGCGGGGCACGCCGGGAGTTGAAGTCTCCGGGCGCCGGGAACCGAGGGCCGCGCTGGGAGTCTCCCGCCGGCTCCCTCGGGGGGGTTTCCCTGGAAAGACCGCTGGAGGCCTTCCTTAAAGAGCCACTCCCGCAAAACAGGTGGACTGGAGCAGTTCGTGGAGGTGCGCTAGGAAGGCCAAGAAATAGTGCATGTTCTCACGTGCGGAAGCGAAAATAGCTGGGCCAGTGTCGAGCGCTCCTGGCCGGTGCCGAGGCCCAGCCGGTACTGGGGAGAGGGGTCACTGAGGGCCAGCGGCAGGGTGGCGAGGGGCAGAGGGAGGGTGAGTGGCCAGCACAAAAACAGGGGCAGTTGCACCGTTTACATGGTGCATTTTGTGGAGGACTTGGAGAGAGGGGCCCGGACGCCCAACGCGGAGGGTCAGGAGCCGGGAGGCCAGGCAGCGGCACCCGGCGCCCCGGGAAGGCAGGAGGGGACCTTCCGGGCCGGCTGGGCAGCTCAGCAAGACTCTGTCTCCGAATAAAAAGGGCTGGGGGTGTGGCAGGATGGTGGAGAGCCTTGGGTCCCATCCCGGGTACCAGGGGGAAAGATGAACCGCTCTGCATCCCGACTTGATGGGATGTGGGGTGTGCCTGCCTCCAACTACCACGTCGCAGCCCGCCAATGTCCACAGTTCTTATGTGGCAACTCAAAGCCACAGGGGAGCCACATCCAGCCACCAAACCCTCCTCAGCCACTGTGGGACATTGGGCTGCTGACTCCTGCCGGGCTCCCCACCGGTCTAGCCTTACTACCTCATTGGACTCCTGAAAATTGAGGTGATGAAGGAACCCTCCAAACATGCTCAGGGGAAGAGGCTGGAGGTGAAAAGCCACAGGTCACAGAGTGCCATAGATAGAAGGGCCCAGCAAGGAGGGCACAGAGCAGGACGTCACAGAATCCCGTGGGATGATGTCATTGGCTTCTGCCAGCAGCCATCTGAACAGAGAGGCGCCTGTGAGTAGAGTCCAGGGCCTCTGTCTGCAGAAAGGAGGCCCTGGTGGGTGCAAAATGACTGCCTTGCGGGGTCCCAGCAGGGGCTTGCTCAGCGGCCTGTTCAGGTTTCTGGGCCCTGTGGGTTGGTGGCTTTGAAGCTCCTGGGTTTGGGGGAAACGGGCCGATGGGACGTGCAGTTTGGTTGTGTGGCCGGATCTCAGGGACCCGAGGCGGGAGCTCAGTCCACCGCCGTGGCCTCTGCAGGTGCGACTTGGGAGGTCAGTCTCCACAGTGGGCTTTCTCCAGTTGTGCGCTGCTGGCAGGGGGTGGGTGAAGGGGACTGCCCACAGTGGGGTGTGAGCGGGCTCCACCTGTTTGATGGCAGAGCCACCTCCCTCCTGCCATGACAAGCAAAATGTCTGCCACAGTGCAGCTGTCCCTGGTGTGGACCCTGCAGATGACACATTGGGAACCGGACCCGCCCACCCAGCCCTCCGAGGACACTGGCAGGCTGCGCTTGGTGCCCCTGTCCCATGGTCTGAGTGACCCCTCGACCCTCCCCACAGGGCCAGGCCTTGGATGCGGGCTGCGCCCAGGCGGACCCCAAGTCCCAGGAGGCACCACGGAGGGCTGCGGCCTTGGTGTTGGGCAGATGGTGCAGCTCCAGCACCTGCCAGGGAGCACAGCTGTCCCCAAGGCGGGTGCCCACACTGGCAGGTGCCGGCCCAGAGGCCCAGTGCCTCTGCTGAGTTTTGGCGCCAGATTTTCAAAATCCCAGGCCAACGGCTGCTGCTGGTTCCCGGCCAGGATCGTCTTCCAGGATCTGAATTCCGGAGCCCGGAGCTCTGGGAGGCCTGGATTCCGGCATCTGGATCTTGGAGGAGTGGATCCTGGATCTGGTGTAGACCCAGGCCTTCATGCGGAAGCCCTAGGTCTTGGGGTTCCAGAATCTGGAGTCTGGGTCTTGGGGACCCTGATTTTGGAGCCTGAAACTGTGGGAAGCCGTTCTCGCCCGTGGTAGTTACCTCCCTGGCTGGGTGTGAGGCGCTTAGGCACACTGTGTCAGAGCCTTCCCCACCCTGCCGCAGGTGCCAGGGCTTGTCTGTGTGGGGGTGTGCCTGACCACTGACCTCAAGACCAATCACTGACCCTGACCTGGGAATGTTGCCCCCCTCGACCTTCATTGGATGGAATTTTCCTCTGAATTTTTTGTTCCCTAATAAAAGCTCGCTCCCTGGCGTGTTCCCCCTCTCTCGCTGGCCTCTTGTGTGAACCTCACTACCGCATCAAGTGGCTGGAGGCAGGAGCTGGGAGGAGCCGTCTCTGAGCTGGGCAAATAAGGTAACCAGAGTCCTGTCTCTTTCATTTGAACTCACTAGTTCATTTCCATGTGTCCAACCTCTGTTCCGAAGCTAGCGTGCTGGTCGCCTGGCTGATGGGACCTGAGTTCTGGGGTCTGCCTTTGGGGGTTCCAGATTCCGGAGCCTGAGTGTCAGAATGCAGGAACCTGGGTTGGAACCTATAATCCCAGGTGCAATCGGAGGTGGCCAAGGCCGGGCTGGTGAGCCTGGAGGGAAGTACCCCCTGTGTGGGGTCGGAGAGGCGGAAGAGCGAGCGGGACACACATGATCAGTAGCCAAGCAGGAAGAAAGGCAGGGACCACCTTGGGAGTGTGCGACGGGAGCAGGACTTTTAGCAGGAGAGGGGAGAGCCCTAAACAGTGAGGACAGCCACGGGGAAGACATTAAAGGAGGGAACACGCGTGCTGCCACACCTGTGTGTCCATCAGCTGGTGCTACATAACAAGCAGCCCCCAATACACACGCATGCACGCCCGCGGTGGTCCTGGTCAACAGGGTCAACAGGAAGGGGTGAGTTCAGTGCGATAAAATTTTGAGAGGAGAAAACGCATTTGTCCTTAGAGGAAACTGTCCTGTTTATCACTGTTGCTGGTCTCTGGGCCCCATTCACACGCTCCCGGGTATCTCAGCGAGTGTGTAGGGAAATGAGAGCGTGGGTAGGGCGGGTCCCAGCTGAGCTCAGGCCCTGGGTAAGGGGGCCGACGGGTCGAGGCAGCGCACTCTTATGTCACCGGCACACGGGTCAGCAGGAGGAGCAGCTTCGCTGGGGCTGGTGGCTCAGGGCTGCCCCCACTGTCCACACTGCTGCGGGACGTGCTCCTGGCCAGGCTGGGCTGAGAGCTGCAGCCCCCGGGGGCCTCCTCGCGTTGGTCATCACAGGGAAACCCACCAAAACCACCCAGAGTTCCCCCGTGAGACCAGGCCACCAGCGGGGCCACGGGCAGCCCCAGAGACTGGACGCAGGAGGGTCATCCCCTCTCAAAACAAAATAATAGAAGGTGCTGGGATGTGGCTCAGGGTCGGGCGCCTGGGCTCTGACCCCTCGGGACAGAGATAGAAACAGGTGTTTTGAGTCTCACGCCTCCCGCCACGGCGGGGGGCAGCGTGTGTAGTCAGAGCCTCCAGGACACGGCAGGGCCAGGGCGTGTGCACAGCAGTGTCACCCGGCGCGTGTGCACCCATGTGTCTGAGTGCATTCACGTGTGTGCGTGTGTGGAGGTGCATGTGGGGGGCACACGTGTGTGTGCGTGTGTGAGGACTGGGTGTGAACACAGGACTCATGCGTGCTAGGTAGCAGCCACCACTGAGCTCCACGCCAGCCCTTTTTGGGTGCAGCCGCCCAGGCCGGCCTTGAACTGGACCCTCCTGCCTCAGCCTCCAGAATGGCTGGGGTGACAGGTGTGGCCACTACACCGGGCTCCCCTTTCTCTTTTTATAAAGCCACCAGGATCCGGTGGGGGGCTCCACACCTATCACCTCAGTGACCTTGTCCAACCCTCCTCGCCCCGGGGCCACCTCTGGACACTGTGGTCAGGTTGAGCTCCTCCCTCCTGACCACAGCAGACTGGACTCTGCTCAGACCCACGGAGTCTGAGGGCAGGGCGGAGCGGATGGCCCCTGTCCAGTGCCAGGGCAGGGGGCTCTCTGGCTCCAGGGAGAACCAGTTCTTCCTTCCATCTGGCCTTCACCTGGGTGGACGAGGCCCACCACTCCAGGGAGGCCCTCCCCAGTTACGGCGTCACCTGAACCCCTCGCAGACACGTCTGGAACCATGTTGGACCCAACTTCTGGGCACCCGTGGCCCAGCTGTGTCAACACGTAAAAGGCACTTGGAGGGATTTTACAAGTGTGGACGTACAGGAGGTTCCCGCCCAGCCTCCCCAAGGCTGGCCTTTGTCCCCAGCTGCTGGGAGGTGACCTCTAGGCCCCAGGAATGTCCCTCCTGATGGGTATGTCTCTGTTTGCCTGGAGTCTGTGGCCTGGGACAGTCCCATCTGACAATAGGAGGAACGAGGGTTGGGGCCCTGCTCTCTGGGGACCAGCCTCCAGGCAAGAGCTCAGCCAGGCAGGCCGTGTGGAGGCCGGCTGGGCTTCCCTGCTGGGGAGGACTCCTGGGGACAGTGACCAGACGCTCCCCCGCGGGACCCTCCCGGACTTGGCTTGTGCCTGGCCTTCCTTGGCCAACTGGAATTTGTATCCTGTAGCCACAATAAAGCCGTGAACATAGATGGACCATTTTTCTGGGCGCTGAGGACCTGAGGAGTGATCGTGGGGTCTGTGAACTCGGTCAGCTGCGCTGAATGGAGGGCCCAGGGAAGCCCTGGGCCCTGTCTGCAGAGAGAGACCCTCCGACCAGGCAGCCGGTCAAACTCTGCACATCCACAGAAATCCAGATTGTCAGCTGAGCATGGCAGCCACATGTCATTCCAGACGCTCAGGAGGCTGGGCAGGAGGACGACACGTAGGAGGCCAGCCTCAGCAATCTGGGGAGACCCTGTCCCAAAATAAAAATGGCTGGGGATGTAGCTGAGGGGTGCAGGGCTTCCAGCGTTCTGGGTTTCATCCCCCATCCAGGAGAGAAGCAAAGGGAAGAGGAAATAAAGGCAGAAGCCGGCTGGGGTTGGCTACGTGAGAGGAGCTGGGTTCCATCCTCAGCACCCCATGAAAGTGAACTAACTGAACAAAGGTGTGGCGTCCCACTACAACTAAAAAATATATTTAAAAAAGAGGGCTGGGCTGGGGCTCCGGGGCACAGTGCTCGCCGAGCATGTGTGGGCCCTGGGTTCGATTCTCGGCACCGCATCTAAATAAATAAAGTCCATTGACCACTAAAGAAATATTAAAAAGAAAGAAAGAAAGAAGCCGGGCACAGTGCCACATGCCTGTCATCCCAGCTCCTGGACAGGCTGAGGCAGGAGGATCTCAAGTTCACGTCCAGCCTCAGCAACTTAGCCAAGACCCTGTCTCAAAAAGAGAAGCCGCCCCGTGGCCCACAACTGCCATCCCAGTGGCTCAGGAGGCTGAGGCAGGAGGATCATGAGTTCAAAGCCAACCTCAACAAAAGTGAGGCCCTAAGCAGCTCAGTGAGACCCTGTCTCTAAATAAAATACAGAATAGGGCTGGGGTGTGGCCAGTGGCCGAGGGCCCCTGGGTTCAATCCCCAGAACCAAGGCGGGGGGGGCAGCCCGGAGGACTGTGCCTCTGCGGAGTGGAGTCCATCCTGGCGTCCTGACACCTATAACGCAGCGTCCTCTGGACTCTGACCAGCTGTGACACTGTCCTGCTCTCCTCGCTGATGGGTGGCTGGGTCCCTCTCCGACGCTGTCCCCTGGTGTGTCTCTGGGAGGTCCTGCCTCTCCCTCCTCTAGGTCTCCAAGGGACCCTGTAATGCCTGCTGGGACCTGGAGTGTGTCGGGACTCAGCCTCGGGCCCCAGGCACAGGGCAGAGGGAGGCTGGGCGGGGCTGCCTGCCCACAGGGGCTCAGCGGTCACTCTGGTGGTTTCAGTGCTGAGAAGAAAAACCAGAGGAGGAGAAGCGCAGCCGCTCGGCAGCAGGAGGCCCGCTCACCGCCCAGCACAGGGGACCGCAGAGGAGCCGGGTGTGAGGGCCGGCCAGGGGAAGGCCAGGGTGGGGGGCGATGAGGGGACACCGGCCAGGACAGGAGGACGCATCGGAAGGTCTGCGGTGTGCCGTATTTCTGGAGGGCGGTGGCGGAGGGACTAGGCACAACTTGGCTTTTGGAAGTGGCTGTGGCAGGGAGAACCAGGGGGTGGGGGGTTAGCTTAAGGGTGTCCAGGGAGGGAAGGGGGACTTCAGGTGGCCACAGAGGGGAAGGCATGAGGAACACCTAGGCCAAAGCCATTCTCAAAACACCATTTTGAGTAATCCTTCCCACGACCTGACTTTCCCATGAAAAGGAGTTCAGAGAGGTTAAGTCACCAGCTCAAGGACACACAGCCCAAGGTGGGCGGAGGTAGGAGGGTGTCCTCTGATGTCTCCCAGCGCGAAGGGTCTCAGGCGCAGCCTCTCCCCGGTCCCCAGGCAGTCCCCCAGCGGACACTGGCCCAACCTCCAGCCCCGAGTCTCCCCACTCTGCCCTGTAAGGGCGCCTCAGCCTCCCAGCGCCAGGCCCCGCCAGCCACCCGCCACCTGGCAAGCCGCTCCCACCTCCTCCAGCCCTTCCTGCCTTACAAACGTCTGGACCTTCACAGGATGAGTCACCCCCACCCGGAAACTTCTCCTTGGGGACAGGAATCTCGTCTTGTTCATTTGTTCAAGAAAACATGAGGTCACAGCCCACCCTTCCCTGCTTCAGACTTGCCAGTGGCTTCCTGGCCACACCCGGAGGCCCACCCAGGCTGGCCCCCCTCTCCTCCTCCCTCCTCACCGGGTCCCAACACAACCCCGTCTCCCCCGCCCCAGGGCCTTTGCGCAGCTGTGCCCACGGCCCAGAGTGTTCCTCCCAGAGCCTCTCGAGCCTGGCTTTCCCCAGCCACCGGGTGGAGCTCAAACGTCACCTTCCCAGAGGGGCCACCCTGACCCCCTAGACGGAGCCCCATGCCCCCCCATGAGTACCACATTGAGACGCCAGGGCTCCAAGCTCTTTGTCTTGCAAATTCAAAGAAGGAGATCCAGGGCCGGAAGGGGCAGGGAAGACACAGGATCCACTGAGTACCCGAGAAGGGCAGCCGCGCTCCTCAGGGAGGGGTCCCAAGGAGGTGGCCCGGGTGGCCAGGGTGGCTGCCATCTAGAAGTGTACATGGTCAGGCTGGAGGGGACCGAGGTGGCCTGACCGCAGGCTGGAGGCGTCACAGAAGGGGGTCTCTGAGTCCAGTCGCAGCAGGACCCCTGTGTCCTGTCCCCTGTCCGGTCGGGGGCTGCTGGGGCCACTTCATCTCAGCTCTGGCTCCAATAGCGCCTGGGTCGCGAGCGGCCACGCGCTGCCAGCTCCTGGGGTGCTGGGCCTGTCTGCAGACCCCCTTC